TCTTAAATAATTGAAATGCCTTTGCAGTTACAGGTCTGGTCATCAGTGTGCCTGCCTGAGACTTACTTTCAGAGCGATGTCACCCCAACCAGGAGGCAAAGCTTTAAAGGCATAGATTGGGCTGGCTCAAAGCAACCCCAATATGCATTTTAATATTTGATGTGAGCAAAATCCACAAGCAATGCTCCACCATTGTCTAGCCATCTACTCAAACGCTTCAGCAACAGTTTCTCAGAAAGCCAAACTTCCTGGGAGTAGAGTAAGCCTGTGTCCAATGCTGTCCCCTGAAGAAGGGAATGGTAAACCATTTCTGAGTACTTTGAACCTAGAAAACCCAGGAGAGGGTTAGTCAGAATTGACTTGATGACACGTCGTTGTTGTCGTTGTTCAACCAAGTGGGCAAGAATGGCCAGGCTGTACTTCCTATTCTGGGAGCTGACAAATATATTTGTTTATTTATTTATTTATGCTGTAAGCCTCCTTGCATTATGCAAGAAGGCTTACAACATACAATTAGAAAACACAATACATTAGATTTTTAAAAGACTATTAAATGAATTGTTATATTAAACCAAACACTACATTAATATGGCTCAAAACCCTTTAAAAACAAGAAGCCAAAGAAGAATACCCACCATGAATGGCAGTGATGTCAGCAGGAAAATCCTCTACAGTGGTCAGGAAGAAAAACTAGGTTCATGGTAACGGAGCGTCTCAATATGCCCTTCGTCACTGCAGAGGTTGTCAGCCCTAGCGATCTTGATTGTATCAACCAGCAATCTACCCTTGCTAAGGAGTTTGATTCAAACTCTGTCACTCACAGACTACTAGCCAGCAAACACCAAATAGGAAGTGTGTCCTGTAGGGATAGTCAAAACTAAATTTGAGAATCAAACCCAAACCAAATTTTTGATAGCCCCTTGGCTGTTATGGATCAGAATTCCAAACCTGGTGGGCTCCCTATGATTATCAGAGTACTTTCTACATTTCCCCCCATTATTGCCTATGATCGTTGAGGATGATGAGTGATATAACCTGACTTATCTGGAGGGGAAAGCTATCATGGAGACTCTAATAATTATTATTATGTGCCATCAAATGAATTCTGACTCGTCGTGGCCTTTTCCAAGGTTTTCTAGGTATGGAGTATTCAGAAATGCCTTGCCATCCCCTTCTTCCGGGGCTGCTCTTGCGCTCTGCAGCTTGCCCAAAGCTACACAGGCAGACGGTTCTGCTGGGAGGCACAGTGCAGAAGCAAACTTGCAATCTCTGCTTCTACAGCCAGATACTTAATTCATCATTCAGGCTAATTTTGCAAAAGGCAACTTCTTGATCTAGTGCCATTTTTGGCAACATTTCCAGTCTCCAAATTGATAGAAGCCACAACTTTCTGTGTGGAAGCTATCCGCTCATGTATGAATCACAAGATGTTGGTAACAATTGGTTTATTGAAATGAAGACAAGATTTCTCACAGATCAAGGGAAGGTGGGAGAATGTGAGCTGTATGTATTTGAGTTCACTTTGATTTCACACTGCCTGACTAGAAAATATGTACAAAGTTGTGTCAAACATACTGGCGTAGGTGTGTTTGCAGAAACTTGACAGTGCTTTTTTGGAGGGTGGGTGGGAGCCCGAGTAGAAGGTTAACCAGGGAAACCAAAAAAGTACGGTAACTATTAATGTAACAGACTTAAAAACTGCTGGCTGCTTCCCTTTCCTCCAGCTTACAGCTCACATGACTGAATATTTAGTGAGTGAGTCAGGTGAAGTCTGGCTTCAAGACTTAAGATAATGAATTCAAAAAGATTTTGGACGAGACATTCACATTGCTTACCAGGCAATTTAATTGGTCATGAACAATAACAGAAAAAGCAAGGGACTTTAAACAATGCACCGAAAATGAAGAAGGCACACAAGCTGGTCCTAAAATCAGGGAGCTCAGAAGGCTGTAAACAAAGAGTGTGTGAAGGATTTAGGTGGAATATCTGTGTACATACAGTTCCTTAAATTAAGACAGATAGTATGAGCAAGTCAGAGACATTGCTATGGCAATGCATTGGCTCCCCCTACAGGCTACAGATGGACAAAATATGGATCAATGAGAAATGGCCGGGCTTCATTTACTCAATTTTCCATAAAGCTTCCCAATGAATGCAGGAACTGTTATCTATTTTTCATTAGTTCTGCGTTTTTTCAGACTGAAAAAAAAGTCCAATCCCCCTCCCCCCTCACAACAGCAGAAGCGGAGCATAACTCCTACAGAGGCAGCTGTCTTTAGCATGGACTCATCCGTCTTTTTAAAATGGGCGAAGGTTATTGGACAGGCAGTTATTGAATCAGCAAAGGCTCAGCTCAGCACACCTTGGCAGTGGGTGCCATTTTATTATCCCATTAGTGTTTTTTAATCATGGATTTAATGATCACATAAGCATTTCCCAGAGATATTTTATTTTTACCTGAATGGAAGATACATCACTATAACATTATAGTTTAAATATGCTTTCTGGACACTACGTAACTGGTGAGAATTTTTTTAAAAGGGTTTTTATTAAAAGAAAAGAATGAAGAAATAGCACAGTTGTATTATCAGCTACTCCCTTGTAGTGTTTATATTGCTATAGAACTTTAGACACTGTAAAATAAATTTGGATGTTATTAATAGAACAGTTTTAAGGGAGACCTAACCCTTTTGTAGAGAAAAAGAGGCAAGCATAGCATTATCATATTCTAGTTCAGAGCCATCAAGCCTTCTTTACAGGTTTTGAAAAACTTATTTGCATGTTCTATGATTTATTGGTGCTTAAAATTCATAATATCCCTCCCTTTGGGCAAAGAGTTCTATCCCAGCTGTGGAAAGTTTTGACTATAAAGTTTAAGCAGGGGCCTCTTGACAGATTCAGGAGGCTTCTAGTGCTCATTTTGTAAATGCCTATCTAGCCAGAGCATGTGGTTACCTGAGGCTGAAACGTGTCCCGGCAATAAGCAATTATCTCAGTTCTGGGATCATCCTGAGCAAAGACAACAACTTTTTGCAAAATACCATGCCAGACTCTTAAGAATGATGGTTTCCTGGGAAATATTATATATTGTCATCCATACTGCTGCAACAAACTTGCTTCTTTTATGAATAAATTCAACATTACTTACTAAAGCACGCTGCGGTTTTTAACAGCACCCGTTCAGATCCTTCCCTGATCTGGTGGCTATAGCAGTTAGGTAAGAGGTAGGCAATCATGTCAAGGACTACACATCGTACCAAGAGATCTACATGCAATCACAGAGGATTGCTGGTGTAGGAAGGTGTCACCTCATTCTGATCTTGCATGGTTAAAACCTCTCCCTGCCTCACAGATCTCCAGCAGGTTCAATGGGTAAGGCAGGGGGTGGCATGGCTGATTAATAAAGAAGTCAGACAGGGAAACTAGCTAAAGCTTCCTGCTCTCTCTTCCTTGATTGGGTTCATTGTTGCAGCAAAGGGCTGTTAGGAATGTCCTGATTGCCCACATTAGATGGTGGTGGTATACCTGCTTTCACAGATTTTTGAGCCTGTGGTTTAGCCCACTGGTTCTTAACCTTGGGTTACTCAGGAGTTTTGGACTGCAACTCCCAGAAGCCTTCACCACCAGCTGTCCTGACTGGGGTTTCTGGGAGTTGCAGTTCAAAAGCATCCGAGTAACAAAGGTTAAGAACCACTGGTTTAGCCCATGAATTGGGTTGAAGGCACGTTAGAGTAAGGGCAAAATCCATCCCTAGGAACCCATGCAGGCCCATGAGACTGTTTTTAACCATCAAACTCTTCCACTCATTGGCAAAAGAACAGCACTGCCAGTGAGGCGGGGACGGGGGAAGGAGTTGATTTGCCACTACTGGAAATAGTTTTCTTAAATAAGACCTCCATTAGTGTTTAACCCTAAAAGAAATAAAATCAGAATTAAAAATAAACTTCTCGCCGCTAACATTTTTCATCATCATTATTGTGGCCTCCGTAGCTCTTGGAGGGCAGAACCCTGGACCTGCTGAAGTTGCCCCCCCCCTCCCCAGGTTAGCAAAATTCTTGCTGTGGGAGCTTTTCTTAGAATAGGCCCAAAGGGCTCTGTCCAGGAAAATCATGCCAGAACTATTTTTTCCATGGCACAAATCAGGATCTGTGAACAGCAGACTACCAATAATGGGAATTGCCAAACCAGAATTAATCAAGGTGCCAGTCAAAGTACACACACACCCTTGTCACTCAGTAGGACCCTAATAGTGGAAGAGCAGGCTGACCCCTCCAGGATTGAATTTTCTTCTCCATGGAAATGAATGGCAATATGTACTAAAAAGGATGCACTTTGGGGCACCACTGGGACCTTTGCCAACTACAAATGACGGGTGGATGCTGCTTCCATTTGAAGTTCAGTCTCTTTTCTCTCTCCAGGCAACTCAGAAGGCTTTGAGTCCTACAGGAAAAAGTAAACAGGGGCCAGAGACACCAGAAAAAAAAATCTTGCTAATTTTGTTCATGCAGAGGGCAGGTTTTGCCCCCACCTCAACACAATCTCTTAATGTTGCTGTTCTTGTTATGTGCCATCAAGTTGAAATTGACTTCTAGTGACCCTAATAGGGCTTTTAAGGTAAGTGAGATACCGTATTGTTCGCTCCACAAGACGCACCTTTCCATAAGACACACCAATTTTTTAGGAGAAGAAAACAGGAAAATATAATCTGTTTTCTTCGCTCCATAAGACGCACAGACTTTCCACCCCCCTGTTTTGTGGGGGAAAAGTGCGTCTTATGGTGCGAAAAATATGGAAGGCCAAAAGGGTTTTTACCAGTTCCATTCCATCCCCCAGGTTTCCATGGTTAAGTGGGGATTTAAACCCAGGTCCCCAGAGTCCCAGCCCATCACTCTACCCACTGTACCTCACTGGGTGCCTCTTCCCCAATGCACCCTAGTATTTTTGTCGATATATGAAAATGTCTGTCTGGTTTGGGGGGAAAAAATGAAAGAGAAACAGAATAGAGTTTAACAAGCGTTCAATCTGCTTTTTCATTCAACCAGAATGAATTCCCTAGTGAAGGTATATTAGTTTCAACATTCATTCATATGTGTGTTCAGCAGAGCTCTCAAGGGAAGTGCCAGCAAATTTTTACCATTGTTATTTTTCTACATTCTTGGTGGTATACATGTGATGGAGAGAAACAAAGTTTCAAAAGGTCAACAAGTCAAATCTTAGGCAGCCTTTCCCTTTGTGATCCATCATAAACTCTCAAAAGACTTCTGGCTCAAAATCTAAACAAACAAACCTCTTCTCCTTTTTGAAAGCCGAAACCGATCTGAATTACAAGACATTCATTTGGGTAATGGAGTGCAACCTCTGCTTCTCAGGGGTCAAAAGCTGGAGAAGTATCGGCTAGGCGGTTTCTTGCTGCCAGAGAAAGGAACATGCTGAACTACAAAGAAGCAGTTAGAATACCAGCTGTTCCAGAGCTAAACCTGGGGTTGCAGAGGAAATAAAAACTTGAAATACCCCAAAGAAGAGAACACACAGAGAAATAGAATATTCTAGTAAATAATTATGGTTTAATTTTGCCCAAAGTCCTAAATACTTCATCCTGATCTGGATAGCACAGTCGGCATGCCCTCCTGCCCTACTAGAGGAGGAGCACTGTATTTTTGATCCAAAATGGTGCTGCGTTGTTGCAGGCAGCAGGATCTGCAGTGTTCCCTGCAGTTTGGAAGGCCAAAAATCACACAGCCAGGATTTGTTTCACGTCAGCTGAGTCCAGTGTACAGCACTCTGGTTCCCTCAGGAATCTATTCGGAGCATCACCAACACCACAAACCCTCAAAGGAACAGAAGCAGCAGCAGAAAGGAGAAACATGGAGTCAGACGCTGAACTGTCAAGGCAATGTTTTGTTGTTTGAGGCCTTTGATGCAAGGAAACCAGAGCACAGAGAAGCCTTTCAATCCCGAAAAATGAGTCAGGCTAGAAAGCCAGAGCAGAATCTTTCTTAGAAGAACTTGACGCCTCGCCCATCATCCAGGGTGATGATTTCAGCCTTGTGCTCCTGTTGTAAAGCTTGCAGAGCACGAAGCAGCATGGACTCTTCTAAACCATGGAACTCTAGGAGAAGATGACATAGGCTTGGTTGAAGGATACAGCGACCAAACATAATAGAATTGGTGTTTGGTGTAGTGGTTAGAAGATTGGACTAGGGACTCAGAGGGCTTAAGTTCAAATTCTCACATGCCCACGAAATTAACTGGATGACCTTACACCAGTCATGCTCTCTCATCCTGACCTACATCACTATTCATGCATCAGTGGCAGTAAAGTACAGTGGTGCCTCGCATAACGTTTGTTCATGCATCAATGGCAGTAAAGTTCTGGGTATGCAGAATCTAGCATCTTGAGAATCTAATTTCTTCCCCAAACAAACAAAATGAAAAAACAAGTTACCAGTCCTTCACATCAATAAGCAACTGAGACAGAGCACAGAATAATTTCCTGGAATCAAAAGATGAGGGTTTTGACCTTGCATACTACTTTTGCTCCTTCCAATGACTGGCAAAAGAAATCTTACAATAGCCTTTTGCATAAATATAAAAGGGGTGTACAGAGAGAACACCCCTTTCTATAGCAAGAGAAAAGCAAGGAGGTTTCACTTCACAAACAAAGAAGAGAGTTTGCTTCCTCTGAATGAAAAGGGAAGGGGAAGGGCAAATAATTTATATCTGCAATAGTGTCAGCAGATCAGTACAATATGAAGTCTGACAGATTTAAGACTTACCTTCATTCTCTGTGTCCTCCCCATTAGATAACTCATACAGTGTGAAAACCGAGTTGGTTAGACCATTCTTTGATACCTGGGAATTGAAGAATGAGAAAGAAAGGAGAGAGGAAGTGAGAAGACTCTTAACCTTTTTGTTACACATGAATGTACAGTGGTGCCTCGCTTAACGTATGAAGTCTGACAGATTTAAGACTTACCTTCATTCTCTGTGTCCTCCCCATTAGATAACTCATACAGTGTGAAAACCGAGTTGGTTAGACCATTCTTTGATACCTGGGAATTGAAGAATGAGAAAGAAAGGAGAGAGGAAGTGAGAAGACTCTTAACCTTTTTGTTACACATGAATGTACAGTGGTGCCTCGCTTAACGAGCACACCGTTTAACAATGAAATGAATCCCCCATGAATGTACTCCCACTTTGACAGCAGTCACAATATCATAGAAAGAATAAAAATCTAATAAAAAACTAAACTTGCAATGGCCGCCCGCTGCGTTTTCGCGCCCTGCCCTTGCTTACCAGGCAGCGAAAATGGCGGCCAGATGGAGGATTCCCCGCATAGCGGTGAGTTTTTCCCCAATAGTAACGCATTAAACGTGTTTTAATGCGTTCCTATGGGTCCCCCCCCCGCATAGCGACGACTCCGGACAGCAGTCACAATATCATAGAAAGAAGAAATAAAAATCTAATAAAAAACTAAACTTGCACAGTACTAAAACATGGCAATAAAAATATAGTAGGAATCAGAAACCAATCTGACCAATGTTTTGACCCAAAATACCTCCACAAATTTCCAATTTCTAGAGACAAAATTAATTATGGATTATCACCATAAAGTACATAGCACTGCTTTACACTTACACTACATAGGGTATTTTGCATTTTTCCACTCTTACCCACTGATAGATGAGCTTGCCCCATTCTTCTGGACGTCGCCACATGACTAGGAAGCTAGATTTGTTCTTGTCAAGCCATTCAAGATTCCCTGGGATGAAGCATAAAATGTCTGTATCATGAAGGCTGCTCAGATGTATGCAATACACACTGACTCCCCTAGTGTGAAGAACTGGTTCTCCCATACCCATATTCCAGCAGTGCACCTTATTTTTTTTAAATAAGTCTGTTAACAAATACTGAGGCTGCACTTATTAGGGAGAAAATCTTACTAATTGTGAATTATATCTATCAGTGGATTGGACTGCCTGGCTGTCAAACCAAGGTCCCTGTCACCTATGCAGCCCTGAACAGGCTCAGCACATCACAAGAAGGAGGGACAGGTAAACCACTTCTGTGCAATTTATTTCTAAAAAACCCTAGAACAGTCATCATTGATTGGACTTGACAGCAAATAATTATTATTAAATGTTGCCACGACATTTCTATGGTCAATTGTCACTTTATGGTTTTGGTTTTTTAAAAACCCAATTAGGAATAAAACTTTTGGAAAGACTCAGGGGCAGAAGTTTCATTTACCTACTTGCCTCTGCTTCTAACTGTAAGCCCTGGCAGGTATTGTAACATAAGAACCGTATATACTGTTTTAGTCCAAATGGATCCTGACATCAACACAAATTACATCCTACCTTTTTTCCTGAGTTCCTCTAGCACAACAAGAATAGATTCCAATGGGAGTTTTCCTGTTTCATAATTAAGGAAACAGTCACTACACACAGGATGGGGAAAAAGGCAGAGAAATTAACAGAAATAGGGATCAGTCACTATACTGAAGACAAATAGAGACAATTCCAAGTTTCAGAATGTTAGAATTGAGGATGCTCAAACCAGAAGTCCAGATTGTAAAGGAAGTGAATTCTTAATACAGTACTGCAAACCTCCCAATACACATATTATGTAGCAAGTACACCCCAAATGACTAGCTACTGGAGAAACTCCCATAGAAGATTACAATAGTATTGTTAGCTCAGAAAAAAAGGGAAGTGTAGAGGACATAATTAAGGCATATAAAATTATGTTTGGGGGGAAAATGGATGGAAGTTTTTTTAAAAATTTTCCAGCATCACCCAATGACTCTGATGAGAGATTCCAGGGAGACAGAAAACTGTGCTCTCCCCACAGCTGAACTGTGGGATTTGCTACAAGTGGTATGGAAGCAATTTGGTATGGAAGCAGCTTTAAAAGGGGATTGGATAAATTCATGAAAGACAGGTCTATGGATGGCTACTAGCCACAATGACTATGGAAGCAACTTGGTATAGAAACAGCTTCAAAAGGGGATTGGATAAATTCACGAAAGACAAGTCTATGGATGGCTACTAGCCACAATGACTACCTCTCCTTCAGGATCAAGTTCCGTATGCCTCTCAACAGTAGCTGCTGGAGAATGTAGTAGGCAGGGTGCAGTTATGCTCATGTTTTACTACTCCAAGAGTCTGTGGCTAGACATTCTGAGAGCAAAACACTGGACTAAATTTGCCTTTCTTATCTTTTTATTATCACAGGACTAGAAGGGATCAAGAACATTTACTCTAAACCCTAAACCCTTGCAGGAGAGGTGGAACCGTCTACCAATGCATTGCACAGGCACACGGGAGTCCAGAACATATTATCCAGAAACAGCATGGCAGTGTCTGTGAAGCACACAGAGAATGTACACAGAGACAATTCAAGTAATTAAGGTCCATGCTGCAGAGGGAAGGTGGGCTGTTTCAGCTTCTCACAGTCCACCCCAAGGAAGAGCAGGGCTTATTGGGATCCATCTCTACCCTAAAGAATAAAAGCCTACATCTACAGCCATTCTTTTCTGTAGGTCTTTGGAATCCTTGTTTTAAAACCATGCACCCCAATGTAGCTTATACACTGGAGCTGCTGCTTCTTTTAATGTAATGGTGTGCTAATTAAAAGCTTCCAATGAGATACTGCTCTCCTTGACTTCAAAATAAATTGCACAGGAAGCAAAGAAAGCACCAAGTGCTAAATTCTACTTCCCAGCACAGATTTCGGAGCCAAACCATACCTTCAGGAGAGGCAAAAACATTTAGAAAATCAAGGATTTGTCACTCATGTTACTGAAACTATTATTACAGTGGGAAAATATCCTGACAGAACTGATAATGAGCCAGGGACTTTTACAGGGAAAAAACGTGCTCTTTGGATATACTCTGTCATGTAAAAGCTATTGCGGGGGACAGACCTCTTTGTTTTCTAGTAGATAATTCTCAAAAAGTTATAGTTTTAATATAATCTGTTAACTGGAGAAACTCCCATACAAGGAAAGGTTACACTATTGTTAACTTAGAAAAATGGGAAATGTGGAAGGATATGTTTAAGGCATACAAGATTATGTGTGGGAAAAGTGGATAGGAAATTTTTTTTGTCTTCCACTGTTACCCAATGAATGTGACTGATGAGAGATTCTGGACAAACAGAAAACTGCGCTCCACAGTCCAACTGTGGAATTTAGACTCTGGAGTAGAAGGCTAAGGTCAAGACAAGTGGTATCCTATGCATGAGAACTGTATTGTACACCTACTATTGATACATTCTTGCCAAAAGCAAGTGACACTTGCCTTCCACTCAGTCCCACCACAATCACAGGTACATTTCATGGGTATATGGGAGAGGTCCTTCTCTGTTGCTCATGGGTATATTGGAGAGGCCCTTCTCTGTTGCTGCTCCCAGACTTTGGAACTCCTTCCCATAAGATACTAAGCTGGCCCCATCTTTACTGTCCTTCTGCAAGCAGGTGAAGACTTTTCTTCTTCAAGCATGCTTTATCTCTGTGAGTGCTTCCCTGAGTAGAGGTTTTAAATAGATTGTTGTACCTTACTGCTTTTGAATGTGTTTGGTTTTGCTTATGCTTTTTAATTTGATTCTTTTAAATAATTATATACTTGCTGTTGTTAGCTTAAAATGCTGTCTTTTAATTATGTATGCTGTCTTGGGTCCTTTTTAGGGAGAAAGGCAGGGTAATATATGTTTTCAATGTATATTTTTGGAGAGGAATAGGGTGAAAAGGGATACAAATTGATATTATTGGTCACCTAGTCCCAAGGATGAAGGTGGTACAGGTGAGAAATGACCAATGTGTATTGTGCATAGTCACCATTGAATCTGTATTTTAGTTTTAGTTTTCTTACTCATTATTTTTGTTTTTTTATTAATAATAATTTTTAAAAGTTTTAAAATGTGTTTTAAATATATAAAATATAAATATACTCCACTGTTTTTAACAAGTCCAAGAGAGCAACAAACCTTTCTATGGCATCCTCTCAATGAACACACTGACTACAATGTAGTGAAATTACATTTCAAAGAAAGAGCAAAACAAGTTTGGGAAAACAAGAACTCTGCTTCGGCTCAACATAACTAAAAAAAAGGGATAAGAAAGAAAAAGCTTGCTGGTACAACTTAAGATGTGGACAAAGCTACCAATTATAACACAGGGTTTTCCAACACTAAGGAGAAGAAGGATACGCTGCAGTTTCCAATTGTTGAACAGGGGGCTCTCCTGGGCCTCTGAAACTGTCATGATGTACAATCTGTTGACACGACTGTATGAAAGCACTAAAGAACACCAAGCTGTCAGCTGTTTTTGTCTTGTGTCCACATTGGGCTGTAACCTAAATACAACAGAGACAGTATAGTAGATTAATGGGACTGATCACGTAAGGCTTCAACCCAGAATCAAATAAGAGAGCTTTCACCAGCTTCCCAGATAGCACTCTTGTATTTTTCAAATAGTTTTCACTGCCATGTTTCTTCCAACCTTCCCACTGCAGCAAGAAGGAACTTCCTGTTCTCTTTCAATCTTAACCTTTCATGTCTACAAAAGTTTAATCAAACAATTTTTTTCTTCTATTTGCCAAGCGAAACAAACCAAACGTCTTCCATCCTTTCTCATGTGACTGTGCTCTAAAGTCAAGGTTTCCGTATGTGTTGCTTTTGACATTTGTCCTATGCCAATTCCATCCATGTGTGGATCAGGGTCCTCTGCAACCTAGCTGCTTAGGGAAGAGTGCTCCCTTCCCACGGTGATGCCAAGGACCAAAAGTTTGGCTGGGTCAAAAGTCCACCGCTACTGGCCTGAAGTGACTGTGTGTTTGATGGTAGGGTCATCCTGGCTTTTTGATTTCATTTGACATCCCATTTGCTGAGCAACAACTTGACCCTTGAATATAATTACCAACACAAATAATCAAATCTAGGCCCTAAGACCCAACAGCACCAACATCCAATCAATCCCATTTTGTAACCGTGCTGCTTAGCACCAAAGAATACGCGGCTGGGCTAACACGAAAGCGGGGACAGCAAAGGACTTCGTGCCCATCTTCCTACGTCCTTACTACAGAAATTCGGGGTGCACCGACGACCCGCCCCCCCCCCGACAACAGGAAGGAGTTTAGCCGCTTAAGCTCTGATCCGAGGGAGATTTTGGCACAAGGTACGCGGGACTCACGTGAAGAAGGGCGGGAAACTGTATTGCCAGGGCCACTCGAAACTCATCATCGCCTCTGGAGCAGAACGGAACTTCCGCCTTCAAAAACCAACTTCTAGTCCCTCAAACAAACAAGACCCCCTCTCCTTCCCCACAAGCCTCATTGAAGAGTTCCGGGATAAATCCGAGCCCTGGTCGCACCATAGATCTAAACTTGTAGAAATACAGCTACACTCCTGCTTCCGGGCTTCGTCGCTGCCTTCTCTTGGTATTTCGCTTGCCCTTAAATTAAAGGGAAAATCTCAAGGCCTCTGTTTGGAAGACCATGGAGACAAATACACAATGAAATCCCACGTCAACACTCGGGCCCAAGTGTCCCATAGACTCCCTGGATTGAGCAGAGAGAAGCAGAAACGACTATCGTCCAGTATCGACTACTTCTGGCTGCCAAGGCGACTCCGGCCGGTTTACACGTTAAACAAATATAACATCAAACAACAATCAAAGCAATAAACATAATAATTATAACATCAAAATTATACACATATACACACCCACAAATTTAACTGAAAATAATTAAAATGGCTATGAAGGCAAGGTGGCCAGACTGATAATATAAATGTAAAATGACAGGTGGCACGACAGCTTAAAGCTGTTTGTTCTAATTTATAGGAAGGTGCCCTGGTGAGGAGGGGACCGCAAAATTGTTTGAAATACCAGCAATGGGGTGACTCCGATCAAAAGCAGGAATTCAGCCTACGGGATACAGTATTTACTTATTTATTTGATTAATATACCACCACATTAGTGCATGTACTATTCTGGGCAGTTTACGGAGGTTAAAGCTAACCATCATCATCATCATCATCATCATCAAAATTTACTTACTTGTTTGATTAATACAGTATACCACCACATTAGTGCATGTATTATTCTGGGCAGTTTATAAAGGTTGCTAACCATCATCATCATCATCATCATCATCATCTGAGCAATTAGCAAACAATAACAAACTTCAATAGGCATAAATTCTAAAAGTGACAAGCCTCTCCACAGAGCAGTGTTTTTAAGAGCCCTTTAAATGTGTGTGTGTGTGTGGGGAAGCCAGAAGGAGCTCTACTGGGAGTTTGTTCCAGAGCATGGGCATCACAACAAAAAAGGCCCTACCTCTGGTGGATGATTTCCTGGCCTCCTTTGGAGTGGTTACCCAGAGACACATGGATTGGAAGGACCCTGTTGAGCAGGCGGATGACCCTGGGGAAAGTTGTTTGGATTTTCTCTTTTTATTTGTGTTTTTAAAGTCTACAGTATTGAGTACTGTGAAGTTGTTATGGATTTGAGCTCTCTCTTACAACAGGGTGAACATGCAACTCCCTAGTTTCAGGTGACGTTGCACAGCTTTTATGCAGCAGTGTAATGAAGGATATGTTCCAAGTATAACTTGAATGTTAGACTACTGCAGTTCAGTCTATGTGGGGCTACCCTTGAAGACAACTCAGAAGCTACAGCTGACATACCGTATGGTAGCTAGGCTATTAATGGGTGTCTCCAATCATGATTATGTGATACTTATTTTGTGCCAGCTGCATTGGCTGCCAGTGTTTTTTCCTGGTTCAATTCAAGGTGTTAGAATCATAGAAAAGTGAAGTTGGAAGGGGCCTTACAAGGCCATCAAGTCCAACCCCCTGCTCAGCGCAGGAATACAATCAATTCTTGTTTGTTTCCCATACTCCTGGGATTCATATGTTTGTCTTTGCACATTTTTATAAATATTATGATGATGACTGTTTATTGTTATGTTTATTACTGTTATTGTTCATGTCATGATTGTTGCCCTTTTGATCAGTTTGGTCCATTCCTCTTATTGTGTGTAAGGCTTCGTCTACCCTTAACTCTGTGCTTGCATCGCCCTCCCCATTCCAAGTCAGTTTAAAGCCCTTCTGATAAAGTTCTTCATGCTGTGGCCAAACTCTTTCTTCCCAGTCCTTGTTAGATGCAAGCCATCTCTCGCTACCAGTCCTTTTTCAAGGAATCTTAGCCCGTGGTTCCAAAAACCAAATCCCTCTCGTCGACACCACCTTCATAGCCAGTCATTCACCCAGAGGATCTTCTTTCTCTTTCGATTCCTCTTCCGAGCACCGGTAGGATGGAGGAAAATACTATCTGGGCTCCAAAGTCCTTGAGTTTCCTTCCCAGAGCTTCAAAAGTGTTGGGGACTTTTAAAGTTCCACGTACATTGCATGGGACCCATGTACCTACAGGGCCACCTCCACCTATGTGAGCCTCTTGCCAATTGAGGTTATCTGGAACTTCCTTTCTAAAGGTGGCAACTGTTAAAGCTGTCCGGCTTGCATATATGAGGGAAATATTATTTTGTGTTGCTGCCCTACACCTTGGAATTCTCTCCCTGAGCTCCTGTGAGTTTTGACGTTCCTGCAGGGATTCCTGGGGGATGCAAGGTGAAAATGTTTAGGTGTGCTTTTGAATGTTGGTAAATCCTTTGGTAGGATTTAGGTTAATTTCTGTTTTATCATTTGTTATTATGTGCTATCGTCACTCCCAACCTATGGCGACTCTACATGAATGAGCCATCTCCAAAAGGTCCTGTCCTCAATAGCCCTACTCAGCTCTTACAAACTCAAGTCTATGGCTTCCTTTAGGGAATCAATCCATCTCATATTTGGTCTTCCTCTTTTCCTACTGCCTTCCACCTTTCCTAGCCTAGCACTTTTTATTGTATTTTAATTGTTGTAAGCCATCCAGAGGCCTTTGGGTAATGTGGGTGGCATATGAATTAATTAATTAAATAAATACATACATAAATACACAAACAAACAAACAAACAAATAATAAATAAAGGAATGAATGAATGAAAATATAAGAATGTAGTTGATCTTGATCTTGGTTTCCATTGACACATCCTTACACTGTCATATTTTCCAGAGAATGCTGTCTTCTCATGATGTGCTTAAGGTAGGCCAGCTTTGGTTTCAACATTTTGCCTCGAGAGACAGTTCAGGCTTGATTTGATCAAGGACCCACTTGTTTATCTTTCTTGCAGTCCAATCCAAGGGTCCTGATGGCAATGAATGAAAATATAAGAATGTAGTTGATCTTGATCTTGGTTTCCATTGACACATCCTTACACTTGATCTTTTCTGTATTGTTGCCCTTCTGAGTCTCCATCTTTTTTTGATTTCTTGGCTGCAGCCTCAATTTGGAATGATTACTCAACTAGGGTATACAAAATCTGTAACTATTTCAATTTCTTCATTACTTTGTCACTCATAACATCAATGTTAAAGTTGTGTAGTTCTTCTCTGTTGACCAAACTCCGGGAAGGCAATGGACAACAGGAGGACCTGGCTTGCTCTGTTCCATGGGGCCACGAAGAGTCGAACACGACTTAACGACTAAACAACAAGTTCTTCTCTACTCATGATTCTGGTCTTTAGGTTCAACTACAGTCCTGCTCTGGCACCTTCTTCTTTCAATTTCACTAGAAGTCATTTCAAGTGCATTGTTGCATCAGAGTTTATTTAAAGGAGATGGTCACTGACCAAACAAACAGAAAGATAACTAATTATAGTTTAAGAAGCACACCTTTGAAGAAGGCTGATAGGCCGAGACATGTCAGGCCTATCCCATTTTATACAGGAATAAAGACTATTACATTTTCTATATCCTGGAAATACAGTTTCCCCTTTGTTTGATCTAATGTTGTTGCTTTCTACAGGCAAGATGGTGTCATCTGCATATCTTAAACTACTAATGTGTCTGCTACCAATTTTCACTCTTCCTTCATATGAATCTAGTCTAGCTTTCTGTATGATATGTCCTGCATATAGTTTGAACAGATAAGGAGATAAAATGCACCCTTGTCCGATACCTTTGCCTACAGAGGAAACCATTCTGTCTCTCCGCATTCTGTCCTAATAGAAGCTTCTTGGCACAATAGAAGGTAAGCATCAGGACAATCAAGTGCTGAGGCAGCACAATAGAAGTTAAGCATCAGGACAGTCAAGTGCTGAGGTACACCTATTTCTTTCAGAAACAATGCATAGTTTCTCATGACCTACACAGTCAAAGGCTTTGCTCTGATCTATAAAGCACAGACTGATTTTTCTGAACTCTCTGGTAAGCTCCAATAGCCAGTAGATATGTATTTATTTACTGTTTAATTCTGATTTTTATCCCACCCATCTAGTGGCTAGGCCACTACTCTAGGCAGCAATATTTGCAATTTGATCCCAAGTGTCTCTTCATTTTTGAAATCCAGCTTGACAGCAATATTTGCAATTCAATCTCAAGTGTCTCTTCATTTCTGAAATCCAGCTTGAACATTGGGCATTTCTTGCTCTATAAGGTGAAAGCCTTTGTTGTGGCAACTTGAGCATCACTTTGGTTACATGGGAAATTAAAGCAATGGCCCTATAGTTACTGCACTTCTTGATATCTCCATTCTTGGGAACTGGAATCTATATTGAGCATTTCCATACTGTGGGCCATTGCTTGTTCTCCTTATCGAGCCTTGCATGCCTGCAACCCTGATACTGTTTCACCGGTTTTCCCTCATTGTACCACTTTTGGTAGGTACTAACCTACCCCACAAGACTTGCCATTTTGGAGATACAGTGGTACCTCACTAGACAATGGCCTCATAAAACTATGAATCCGCATGACGATGAGGTTTTATGATCGCTATAGCGATTCGCAAAAGTCATTCCTATGGGGGATTTTCGCTGGACGGTGATTTGGTCCGTGTTTTGCGGACTGTTTGTTCGCAATACGACGATTTTTACAGCTGGTCGGCAGCTCCGCAAAATGGCTTCCCTTTGTTTTCGGGACCCATGCTTCGCAGGACAGCATTTTAACAGCCGATCGGTGCTCGCATAATGGCTTCTCTATGGGCGATCTTCGCTGGACGACGAAGACAATGATTATTTTCCGCAATGGAACACATTAAACGGGTTTCAATGCATTACAATGGGGAATCGCATTTCGTATGACGATGATTTCGCTAAACAGCTCGCATTTCATATGACGATGATTTCGCCAAACAGCGATTTCTGTGGAATGGATTATCATCGTCATGCAAGGCACCACTGTACTCTGACCCGGTCATCTAGCCATCACCACTTGACCCTTGTCAAAGTCACTCAGACTTTTTTTGCTTGTCCCTATTTCCTGCTTCCAAGTCGTAAAATTCAAGAACTGATTGTTCCCTTGCTGCCTAATACATCCCACCCCTTGACAGGTGCCATTGTAACAATACAATCAATGCTATTCACTTCACCTGTCAGTAGTTTTAATGTTGTGGTTGATCGGTGTATATCATCTTAATTTTTTTTTTACAACAGCAGAACAAACATTTGCAAAGATTAGTAGACTGTATATCAGTGTAGTATAATTATATGTCACAGAGATATATACAATAAATCAACTTCATCAAGTTATTCAGTAGTGTCCAAATTAGGAAAAGTCCATCTCAATGAATACATGCTATCAGTGTGGTCTAACGACTGCCACCATTCACAGGATGTCTTTCCATAGTTTTAAGTGCTGTGATGGAGGACCATAGGTTTGTGGTTCTGAGTTACAAACAAAATAAACGGAAACAATGCTGGAGTAAGCCTGTCCATTTTTCCTTGTCCAACAGCCATTTGTGTTTGGGATGCCATTTTTTTCATACAACACAATATTCCAGATACTTTGATCCAGTCACGTGTACTGAAGCACTTAGAATTTTTCCAGTGTTGTGCAATTTCTAGCATGAAAGATACACTACCTTGGCTGCCCATGCCTTGCATTTAGAGCACACGCTGTGTCAGTTAGCTTGTGCTTAAGGAAAGAGGTGCAAACAGGGAATGTTGGTTTTTGATGAGTTTGGTGTCTGGCTCCGGAACGAGAAGTTGGGAGTTTTATTTCCCACTGTGCATATCAGAAGGTATTTGTTTGATCCTTTTTGGTATTGTAATATCAGAAAAGCCAGCTTGTACAGCCTTAGGCAAACTGCTCAGTCCCAGGTTGCCCCCAGAAGAAGAGAATGGCAAATTACTTCTGAGTATTCCCTACCTAGAAAAAGCATGAAAAGGGTTGCTATTTTGGCAAGGGCAATTCTAAATAAAAGGTCAAGAGGCAGTGCAGTGTCAAGCTTACAGAGGTATACCAGAAAGTAGGGAAGACAGGTGACCATGATCTAGAACCAGCATCATGAGACAGTCCAGTTCTCAGCCCAGCGCAGTTCAACCAGAAAATTGGAAAGTTAGATAAGGAGTAGGATCACACATAGAGAAGTTCAGGCACCTAGTGGTCAGTCAGAGTAAGAATAAGAGACAAGGAGTCAGGAGGTTAAAATCAACAGAAAAGATCTAGAGTCAGCTGTAGACATTGACCAGAATCCTGCTGGCGATTTACACTTACGTAAGGGAAACCATGTAAGCCTTGGCAGCAAATGACTGCTTATTAACATAATGCTGGTTGTGTTCCTAGATACGCACACACGCACAAATTGCCAACAGAATTCTGCCTACTGCTTCCAGCAGCTTTCTCTGCCCAGAACAGAGATACAATACTGTATTGTCTGGGCCCCACACAGGCTCAGCTGCAGGATTTGAGCAGAAAGTCTATCCTGGATCTGGACCCCTCAATTCAAGGACATCTCCTGTGCCTCCTGAGAGGCCTCTACTTCCCACTTCCAAGAGTCCTCCATTGCAGCTGCTATAAACTATCTTACAAAGTGCTATAACTCCACTCATATTGTCTTTAGAGCATTGCCCTTTTCTCCCATAATTGCAATACTACATGTTCGTGTGTGGCATGGAAAGAACACAGAAAATGCTGCACAGAAATTGCTGAGAAATCCCCAGTAAGAAATTATATAGTAGAACCATATCCATGTGGTCAGCATCTGCTGATTCACTTATTGTCTTAAAATATTGAAAATATTAAAATAAAAATCCTAGAAATATATGGTTCTAAATATGAAGTTACCGAAACTGGCCACTAGAGGGAGCCAAAGACTATGCTATGTATACCTATTAAAATAGAGTGGGGTTTTTAAATATTGTGCCTTAATGGATTGATTGTGTTTTGATATTGCTTCTGTTTACCATTTTACTGTGGTATTTGTTTGATCCTTTTTGGTATTGTATAATTGTTTTTAGCTTTAAATATTTTCTTTTAATTGTGTAAGCCTCCTTGCATCCTACCTAAGGAGAAAGGCAGAGTAGAAATATTTTAAATAAATAAATAAATAAAATAACTCAAGTAGAACTTGGGCGCTTTTCTCCAGAATTCCGATTACTGCCACTTCCTCCACCAAGTCATCTCTATTGGTTAGAATCAAGTCAATGATAGCTACTCCTTTCTTTTCCTCCTCTACTTTTTAAGAAGAAAATTATCAGCCACACTAGGCAGGAATTTCTTGGAAGGGCCATATTTGTCAGAACTGTCTCCCAACAGAATAATTGGAATTTCCTATTACAGTGGTGCCTCGCTTGACGACAATTCGTTCCAGCGAAATCGCTGTAGAGCGAAATCGTTGTCAAGTGAAATTTAAAAAACCCATTGAAACGCATTGAAAACCGTTCAATGCATTCCACTGGGCTAAATACCTGTTCGTCCAGCAAAGATTCTCCATTCGGCGACCATTTTCTGGTGCCTGTAATGTGAGGAATCTGTCACTAACACAGTGGGGAGACATTTTCTACAGCCGGCGGCCATTTTGAACCCCGACAATCAGCTGTTTGCTGATCATCGTAAAGCGAAAAATTGGTTCCTGAAGCGTTAAGTGAAATTCCCCTCATCTAAACATCATTTTGCGATTGCAAAAGCGATCGCAAAAACTTCAACATTAAGCGGATTCATCATCAAGCGGGGTAATCGTCCAGCGGGGCACAACTATACTACTACCTTATGTCTCTTTGAAATTCTTGTAATTTGTTTTTCAAAGGTTTTATTTCCAACTCCTTAATTGGGCAGTCCATGACTAGGAAGAAGAAAATGAGAGGACTGATATAATTCAAGACTTTTAGGATGAAGAGATGATTTATTTAGAGTGGAAGAATGAATGGCAGACTAGAAGCTTAAATGTCAGAAAAGAGAAGATAAGAACAGAAACATGAAATTAGTAATAAGATCAGAATGAAAGTACGTCTTGTATCATAACTAGACCAGGTGACTTGCAAAAAGGTTTGCGGGTGGGAAAACAGTGCAGACGGAGTGGAATGTATCTCTGTCACTTTTGTGTAAAACATCCTATGGATTCCACACTTTTTCAATACATTTTTCTCTTATTAACTGAACAATGGTACACTTCCACCAGGAAGCAGATCTCAGAGGAACGTAAGAAAATTACAGTGATAGATACTACCACTACAAATTTGTGACTAAGACTGTTTCTGCATTTTCAGTCTGATTCTGTGAGGATCTTTCACGTTCTTCAAGCATCTCAGAAGGTGAGGTCTGCCGTGATGGTTTTTGGAACTTCAGCTGCAAGAGAAGCATAAGGTAGTCTGTGAGGATTTGTTAGAAACCAGAATGAACCAGAAGTGTCACATTTGCTATTCAGACTTGATTGAAAGGAGTCATGTTAAATGCAATCTGTCAGCTGATTCTTTTGTATCTTACTAATCATCTTTGATTAGTCATCACTGGTGAAGTTACAGTGTGGCATTTTTAAAAATAGACATTCCACAAAATCATTATTTCAATTAATACATAATTCAGATATTGGCTGAAATCCAAAATAAGGTGACTGCATAAAGTGGTGTGTCAACTTATGCTGAGGTAAAGGTAAAGGTTCCCCTTGACATTTAGTCCAGTTGTGTCCGACTCAAGGGGGCAGCGCTCATCTCTGTCTCCAAGCCATAGTAGAGCTAGTGTTTGTCCGAAGACAGTTTCCGTGGTCACATGGCCAGCAAGACTAGACATGGAACACCGTTACTTTCCTACTGAGGTGGTCCCTATTTATCTACTTGCATTTGCATGCTTTCGAACTGCTAGGTTGGCAAAAGCTGGGACAAAGTGATGGGAGCTCACTCCGTTGTGTGAATTCGATCTTACGACGGCTGGTCTTCTGACCTTGCAGCACAGAGGCTTCTGCGGTTTAACCCACAGCACAACCACGTCCGGAAATGTAACACAATAAAAAAAGCACACCAAAAGGGAGCCTATTTTCCTCAAAACAGTCAATAAGGACAGAACATCCTTATTAGTTTCCAGAAGCCATGAGATGTTTAGTGTTAGCAGGGCTGGCCCTACCATTAAGCAGAGTGACGTACAGTACCTGCCTTTAGTTACATGGAGGGAACAGTGGCAACTACCCCCCACATCTCTTTCTTTCTGTTGGACCGTAGAGTGGCATGTTCTGCACAGCCTGCCCTGCCCCTTTAACCTGCCATGCTGCCTTCTGGTTTGATGCAGGACACTCTCGTCAGTTTCGAATTAAATATCAGTTGTCAGTTGGTCAGCTTGTGTAAGTGGAATAGGAGAAGGGGCTACCCCCTCCCTAGCCCCTGGCAGCTGAAATGTCTTAGGCCAGCCCTAAGCGTCATTTGGAAAAGGCAAATGGGTGGATTGGGGAGTAAAGACACCATGGGCCTGCTTGAACACTGCCTAGGTTGTACTACCCTAAAGTTGCAGCTGCCTTGCATTCTGCATAGGAGCAATCCTGTTAAGGTTTGGTGATGCACTGCAACATTTTGTTGTGTACCCCCCACAAGATCTGCACCAGTTACTATTCCCTACAGACAATAAATCAGACACTCAAGCAGGGAGGGAAGTTCAGCTATACAGACCTTTACGGATGTGTCAACCAGATGAAGAGAAGGCTGGAAAGCATGGCTTGTGTCTTGGCTCCCTGCAAAGTAAGAATTCCCCCCCACACACAAATTAATGGCCACAATCCAGAGTGACACGCTTGGCCTGTGCAAGGCTTACTTGAAAGTAGACCTCCCATGGAGAATTATTTTCTCACACAGCAGATCCAGACACTGAAGCTGGGCATGGAAACTAACTTGAGTTACAAGCGCATTTTTCACCAAAGGATGTGAAGTGTTGGGGCTAGGGAAGGGCAGTGGTGGGGGTATTACACAAGCTCAAGAACCCCTCTGAACTGTGGCTGGCATGAGATTTCTGAAGAAGAAAAACAACCCTCCACAAATAAAATATTTCCTCCATACATCAAGGGGGTCACGGACCGCATGGGGAAACTGCTGAAAAAAACACAACCTACAAACAGTATTCAGGCCCACCACAAAAACACAGCATATATTACAGGCAGCAAAGGACAAAGGGGACTCCTTCAGCACTGCAGGAGTATACCGGATGCCTTGCAATTGTGGTAGGGTATATATTGGGAGTGCCTGACCACCTTATCCATTTCCTGAGAAACCTATATGTGGGACAGGAAGCAACAGTTAGGATATGGAACAACTGACTGGTTCAAAATTGGGAAAGGAGTACGACAAGCCTGTATATTGTCTTCCTACTTATTTAACTTACATGCAGAATACATTATGTGAAAGGCTGGACTGGATGAATCCCAAGCTGGAATTA